ACAGTATTTGACACTGTGGAAAAGAAAAGAGAAAGAGGCTACTGGTAGGCTGATTTAGCTATATATGGCTTCCCTATCACAGTGGTGGGCCCCTTTACTTAAGTGGCAAGATGAAGGTGTGTCAGAAGCAGGACACAAAGAGCTGTGACAGACTCTGAGTACTGATTATACAGTTCTCACTTCCACAACAAATTAGGGATTTAATAATGAGATTCAAACTGTTCCCTGACTATTGACCATGATCAGTGGTCAAAGACACAGATTCAAGGAAGAATGAGATTAGTAGTAAGCCTTAGGTTTACCAGTGCCTTCACCAACAGAATACACCTCTAGATTTTTCCCACTGGAAAGGTTACTCAGGATCTGAATTTGGGTCTCCTTCTAGAAAGGTTCCTGGCAAGATCAACAAATTAGGACGAAGTCTGAGACGGACTACACAGAAAATAACTAGATATATGCTTACTCATCAACTAGCAAGATCAACCTAAACTGAAAACTTTGGCACAGAATTGGTCCAGTCTTATGAAAAAGTTTATCTTTAGCTATAAAAAAGGAAGCATGTCAATCATTAGAAGGTAAAAATGCTCTAAAAATTATCTGCACAGTATTCTGTCACAAAATGAAAACAGACAGTATGCTAGCATCATCCAAGAATCAGAGGCCTGGATTATTTTTTCTTTTCTTTCTCCAGTCTCGCTTTTGACTTTGTTGTATTACAGCTGAGTTACATTACTGGCTCCTGATTACCCTGGGCTATCTTCCTCAGCCTCAATAATTTAGGGAATGGTTACCATTTGGTCATTAAAAACGTCAGTGATTTTAGCACAACAGACTAAGATGTGTATTGGAGCCCTGGTGGTGCAGTGGTTAAGTGTGCTACGGCTGCTAACCAAAACGTTGGCAGTTTGAATCCACCAGCCGCTCCATGGAAACACTATGGGGCAGTTCTACTCTGCCGTACAGGGTCACTCTGGGTTGAAATCGACTTGACGGCAATGGGTTTGGTTTGGGGTTTTGGTATATTGGAGTATTTGATCATTAACTCACACAAAAATGTTTCGTGTCTTGGGGCCAGAGACAGAGCATAAGTATTAGGAAGCTTATGCTCTGTTTTCTAATTCTACAGACATGCTATTCTAATGGTGAATTAAAAGATACAGAAAAAAATCAATCTTGTAAACATTTTAAAACATCTGAATCCTCAAAGCACATTTCTTAGGTCCTTAAAGTATATTACTTATGGCTTGAAAATATTGTATAAAAAACTTAGATACTTTTTTCCTTTTAATTTCTGCAAGTCACAGCATAAAGGCAACTTAGAGCTATGCCTGGAACACAGAAACTCTCCAACAGGGTTAGATTGTCTTTTGTTGTTATTTCTTTCTTTTTCCTTCGTCTTCATTTTACAAATATATGCGTGACATCAGCTTTTAAACAAGAAGCTAGTTGATTAGAGCAGTTCTGATGTAAACAACAACCCAAAAACTGTAGAACATTATTTTTAATTACTACAAATGTGTGGACTCAAAACTAGCAAATTATTTTTATCAATTAAAAGAGATTTATTTTTAATAAGCCTCTTTAAAGAAAAAAAGAACGCTTTAGAACAAACTTAACAATCAGTAAAATAAGATTCAGACAACATATTACCACACTACAAAGAGAACTATACCAAACTATTAAAGTTAAATGTCTTGTTTTAAAAGTACCTCCTTCATTCAACACTTAGTGAGCAGCACTGTGATGAACACTTGGTGTGAGAAAGAAAACTTCAGAGAACATTTACAAAGGTCTACTGACAGGCAATTAAAGAATCTACCTTGCCTCCACCGGACTGAGTCCAGTACAACTAGATGGTGCCCAGCTACCACTAATGACTGCTCTGACCGGGATCACAACAGAGGGTCCCGGACAGAGCTGGAGAAAAATGTTAAAATTCTAATTCACAAAAAAAGACCAGACTTACTGGCCTGACAGAGACTGGAGAAACCCCAAGAGTATGCCCCCAGACACTCTTTCAGCTCAGTAATGAAGTCACTCCCGAGGATCACCCTTCAGCCACAGATTAGACAGCCCCATAAAATAAAACGAGACTAACGGGGCACAACAGTCCAGGGACAAGGACTAAACGGCGGGAGGGAACAGGAAAACTGGTAATAGGGAACCCAAGGTTGAGACGGGACAGCGTTGACATGTTGTGGGGTTAACCATTGTCATAAAACAATATGTGTACTAACTGTTTAACGAGAAACTATTTGTTCTGTAAACCTTCATCTAAAGTACAAAAAAAAAAAAAATCTACCTTGTTATTTTTCTGCTATGTAATTATTTTAAAACCCCATATTCTGATATGAAATGTGAAATTTTGTGGAATTTAGAGTTCTTTTTTATCTCCTTTTTTCCACAATAATATTATAATTATATTAAGTGAAATGAAATGATTATAATGCACTAGTTTGTCACTGTTGTTGTTGTTGGGTGCTGTCGAGTTGAGTCTGACTCATAGCGACCCCATACGACAGAACAGAACCGCCCCATAGGGTTTCCTAGGCTATAGTCTTTACAGCAGCAGATCACCGGGTCTTTCTCCTGTGGAGCCACTTGGTGGGTTCAAACTGCCAACCTGTCTGTTAGCTGCCAAGCAATTAAGCATTGTGCTACCAGGGCTCCGAAAATGTATTATACCGGGCAGAGTTGAGAACTGACACCAGATAAACTGAGAAGAATATTTAACTATAAAATAACTATACTCACTAAGGTTAAATTGGTACTTTATAAGCGTATGCATAATATTAAAATAAATAGTTCTAATTCAAACTGAGAAATGTTTTTGTCTTTTAAATTGAAGACAACTATTATTTCAACAACACAGGAATTATGTCATGCATACATATCGAGATAGGTGTTACCAGAGCTGAAATATTTATAAAGATGACACCCAAGGAATGTTTGTATATTCTCTACATAATGATTGAGAACCAGTTAAAAGGCTAGAAAAGTAATCATTAAACTTCAGGAGTTGGTGGAAAAATTCTACTACAGCAGGAACTCCACTAACCATCTAGCAGGAAGCACTGGTTAGGAAAAGCTGGCTGACAGAATAGCAAAGATACGGAATTAGGATTCAGGAGGCTGGGCTTCTAGTATCAGCCCTACTGGTTAAAATAACTATGGACAGTAGTAGATCACTGGAATTAAGATCACATATACTAGAATCACACTGCCAGGCTTCAAAGCCCAGCACTGTCAATTATGAATGACCTCAACATGCATTTCTTAATCTCTAAATTTCAGTTTCTTCATCTTTAAAATGAGGATAATAGTAGCTATCCCAAAGCTATTCTCAGTTAAATAAGATAATCCACGTAAGGGGCTTAGTACAAGGCCTGGCACAGAAGTGCTCACGGTAAATGCTTATGCCCGGCACATTAACAGCTTGCCCTCACCACTAGAGCAGCTTTGAGCAGTCCAACTACCAGGCTTTCTTTTCTTAAACGTTAACATACAGGGACTGGGCTGGATGATTTCTAATGCCCTCCCTCATCTAAAATTAAAATTCTACAATGTATCAGAATATGACGAGCCAACTCTATTTCCAAAGAACATAAATTTAAATCTTCCACTCTAGTATGATTAAGGATCTGGTAATTTAAATTACACAAAACAATCATATTTTTCAGTCATCCCTTTGAAACTAGTTATAATTACTACATTTATTAAAGCTGAAATTACATGTAGTCTATGTAACGCACAAGAAATTCACGAGTTTCTTAATTTGCATATCGTGTTCAGCAACTGTAATTATTCCAGAGTATAGCAGCAGAACTGTCAGTCAATATGATCTTAAATGAAAGATGAATGTCATATAATTGACTATAAAAATGCCACTATGTATTTTAGTAGTCTTATAACTTTGACTTTGCTTATAGAATATCTAAACATATTAATTTGGTGAAGGCAGTAATTTCTGAATAACAAGTCCCAGCAGAAATCTAAGGTAGATAATTCTAATGGAGTTTTTTTAAAGAACACTTTATATCTCTTACTTACTAAACAGAAAAAATAAAAATACTTAGAAACTCAAACATATAACTGAAGAAAAAGAGAATGAAATGCTATTTTGAAACTGTCCAAAATCTAAAGGCTTACTAAATCTCTCTACTGGTATTTTACAATTAAATATTCAAACGACGGGCAAATCTTTTCACTGGAGGAAGTTTTTCTTTTTTTTGGAGTGGGGGGAGGTGACTTGTTAAACACTTAACATCAAGATTAAAGACACATCCCATATGATTATTGGAAGCAAACTATAGACACATTAACTATGTATCAACAAATACTTTCAACAACAGAGACCTTTTCTTAATATTTGGAGAACCTTTTCTTCATATACTTTCAGAGACATCATTAAGAAATTAAAAAAAAAACTTTTTAGTTTTTAAATGAGTATGTGATCAATGAAAAAAGATTATATAAAATTTTAAAAATATTTTTCCAAATAAGATTGGGGGGTGGGGACAGTTCAGGTTCAACTAAGGTACATTTCACAATTTTCAAGTTAGAAATGCATGCTCAACTGGTTTATTAAACATATGAACACACTAGCATGGTCAGCCCATATGAATAAAATGACATCTGCACACCAATGTAAATGCTTAGTTATTACGTTGTTCCTAATATTAAAAAATATGTCTGTTAAAATCTGACAACCTAATAAGCTCTCAAACCAGAAATACATTTATCAGTCAATACTCATGCCTCATTTTTATATTAGAAAAAGCAGGATTAGTACTGTTTAAAAAAAAAAAAAAAGATTCTCTTAAATTCCTAGCTATGAAAACTTAAGCCTCATTTCAAGAAACCCTTATCAATAGATCTCCACACTTGATACTTGGCTCAACTTACAATCATTCAAGCTCTAGTTTTACCTTACAATTAGTTCGGCATAAAATAGTTGTGCGAAGTTCATGATGTAAAACTAAACTATAACGTGTCCTTACCCTCAATATTTAGCTCAAAACATACGTGGCAGAAGGAGAGCGTTTCTTTGTCTGTTCCCAGTTTACAAACACTGCAAATGTTGTCATCATTCAAGTCAATGTTTACAAACTGCTCCTCTTCGTTCATAGTGCTCCTATTAAGAAACAGAAAACTTATGCAATTTCAAGAACTTATTACCATAACGTAAGGAACTTATAGGTAACGAGGAGGATGCTGTCCAATGAGGCACAAGCTCCGTCAAACAAGCATTGCCATCCTTGTACTCCAATATCACACTTTTATTGTGCGAAGACGCAAAGCTAGGAAAACTTAACCCTTGGCCATATGTGACATTATGTCCAAGTGCGTTTTTTGTCCTACATCTTACTTAGTTAAGGGGATCTAGAAGGAAAGCGGTTTGCGGGTATCTTCTCCCCTCCCTACCTCGAATATCAACCTACTTAATGCTGTCGACGCAGTAAAAACGACGTGCTCGGGACACTGCTTTGCTAACTTCATTGTGTGAACCTGAGAAGCGTTACGCCAACTTGGTGTTGCAAGGCTTCCGAGCGGAGGCCGGCGGCAGACAAACGCACGTGGAAACGCGAGCACCCCGGGTGGACGTCCCGGCCGCGTCCACGGCACCCGTGAGCAGCGGCTCCGCGGCTCGGGTCAGGCCGAAGGCGGGGGCAGGCTGGCCAACCCGGGCCGGGGGAAGCCCCGGGGCAACAGAGCTGCTGGCGGGAGAGCCGCATCCCCTCACCCCGTGCTTGCTCCCACAGAAGAAGGCGTCCGAGGCCACCGCAGCCCCTCCACCCGCCTCAGCGCTTCAGGAAGCCGGATCTCCGCCCAGCCTCCGGCGCTGGGGGCGCGCGCCCACCTCCCAGGGAGCCCCGGACGCGCGGCCGTCTCACCGTCCGTCTATCGGGGTGCCTCGCGCGAGGCAGCGCGAGGGAGGGCAAGGCTCGAAGCGCGACGGCCGCCAAGACTGACGGCAGGGGCGGCAAGCGGGGCTGGGGCAGACGAGCGGGGTCTTTACCGTTCGGTCCCACGCGCCACCTCTGCCGTTCCGCGCAGCTCGGGCTTCTCCACTATTGTTTCCGGCCGCTGTGGCAGCGGCCGCCGCCGCCAGCCCGGCTCCGCCCCCTCCCGCCCGCGCCATCCGGAGAAGTAGCCGAGGAGGGTGGCGCGGCTGAGGACGAAGGTGCGCGCTTGAACGCCGGCTACGGACCCGACTCTCCACTCTTGCACCGACACCGAGTCTCAGACTCAGGTTTCCTTGTGACTCCGCATTTTTTGGCTCAGGTCTGTTACCGTTCTCTGGAACGTGGCTCCTTACACCCCCCTCTTCGAGGTGCGGAGATAGACGGGCCCGTTTTCACCTCCCCCTTCAGCGTAGTGGAAACTACTGCCCCGGGGTGGGGGCTGAGGGGGCGGGGGCAGGAAAATGACGGCAGGATGGGGCAAAGGAAAAGAGATGCGTGGTTGCACTTTGTTTGGAAACGGAAAGTGAAACAAAGTAATAGCGTTAACGTCGAGTTAAGTTCCAGCTGAGGTGTTTAATGAGGGAAAAGTTCATGTTTCAAGTGTCATGATTTAGGGATAGTTTTCAAAACGGAAGCTCCTTTTTTACAAATTTTAAAAACTGGCGACCCACTTTTAGACATGATATTTTCCGTACTCCCTCACGAGGATAAACCTGGAGACCCCCCCTTCAAGTCCCATCCCTTTCTTAAAACTGTTAGTTGTAGTTAAGATATTTGCTTGCCCTTATTTATCTATTTATTTTAGGGTACAGTTCAAGCAATGCCTTCACTTGCATTTTTTATTGTAATTATCACAGCCTAGCGAGGAGGAAACAAGAGCTGGTCTCTTATATTGAAGTCTAGGAGCTACTGACCCAGGTTATAAAGCAGAACTGGATCTTGAATCCATGGCCGCTAATGTAATATCACTGTATTTTCCTTAGCATCATTAGCATCTGTTTAGTTAAGTCACAAATAATAAGGAGGCCGGAATTGCCAGTATACATGCAAGTATTCAAGAACTGATGGTAGGGATGGATTCCATAGATCTTGAGAAACTTCTGGATTAAACTGGCAGTCGATATAACCCATCAACACCTCAGAAAAGTGGTCAAGTTCTTACTACTCAGTGTGTGGTAGATGAACTAGCCTCATCAGTATATTGTTGGAATTGCAGAATCTCAGGTCCCACCCAATGCTTCTGAATCAGAACCTGAGTTTTAACAAGACCCCCAGGTGCTTCCCATGCTCATTAAAATGTCAGAAGTACTGCCCTAAACTTGGAGCCCTAGTGCCTCAGAGGTTAAGAGCTAAGGCATGCTAAGGCTGCTCACCAGTAAAGGTCAGTGGTTTGAATCCACCAGCCTCTCCTTGGAAACCCTATGGGTCAGTTGTATTCTGCCCTATAGGGTCACTATGAGTTGGAATCCACTCCACATCACCTTTTTTTTTTTTTTTTTTTGGCCTAAGCTTAATCTATTTGAATTTTTCTTTTTGCTTGTAGTTAGATGCTGTGAAGTTGGTTCTGTTTGCACGTTTCTCAAAATCATTGCTATGTTTGAGCCCATTGTTGCAACCATTGTGTCAGTCCATCTGGTTGAAGGTCTTCCTCTTTTTCATTGACACTCTACTTTACCAAGCATGATGTTCTTCTCCAGGGACTGGTCCCTCCTCACGACTTGTGCCAAGTACATGAGTCAAAGTCTCACCATCCTTGCTTCTAAGGGCATTCTGTCTGTATGTCTTTGAAGACAGATTTGTTCATTCATCTGGCAGTCCATGGTATATTCAACATTATTCACCAACACCATAATTCAAAGTCATCAATTCTTCTTTGGTCTTCCTTATTCATTGTCCAGCTTTCACATGTGTATGAGGTGATTGAAAATACCTTGGTTTGGGTTGGGTGCACCTTAGTCCTCAAAGTGACATCTTTGCTTTTTAACACTTTAAAGAGGTCTTTTGCAGCAGATTTGCCCAATTCAAGTTGTTTGATTTCTTGAATACTACTTCCATGGGCATTGACTGTGGATCCCAGTAAAATTCCTGACAACTTCCATCTTTTTCCATTTATCATGGTGTTGCTTATTGGTCTAGTTGTGAGGATTTTTGTTTTCTTTATACTGAGGTGCAATCCACACTGAAGGTTGTAGTCTTTGATCTTCATCAGAAGTGCTTCAAGCCCTCTTCACTTTCAGCAAGCAAGGTTGTGTCACCTGCATATCGCACGCAGGTTATTAATGAGTCTTCCTGCAATCCTGATGCCCCATTCTTCTTCATATAGTCTGGCTTCTTGGATTATGTGCTCAACATACAGATTGAATAAATATGGTGAAAGGCTATAACCCTGACAAACACCTTTTCTTATTGTAAACCACTGAGTACCCCCTTATTCTGTTTGAATGACTGCCTCTTGATCTCTGTACAGATTCCACGTGAGCACAATTAAGTCTTCTGAAAGTCCAGTTCTTCGCAATGTTATCCATAATTTGTTATGATCCACACAGTCATATGTCTTTGCATAGTTAATAAAACACAGGTAAACATCTTTCTAGCATTCTCTGTGCCATGGATCAAATTTTGTCCCCCCAAAAATGTGTGCATCAATTTGGCTGGGCCATGATTCCTAGTATTGTGTGGTTATCTTCTGTTTTGTGATTGTAATTTTATGTTAAAGAGCGTTGGGGTGAGATTGTTCAACACCCTTACTAAGGTCACGTCCCTGATCCAATGTAGAGGGAGTTTCCCTGGGGTGTGGCCTGCACCACCTTTTATCTTACAAGAGATGAAAGGAAAGCAAGCAGAGAACTGGGGGGACTCATACCACCAAAAAGACAGTGCCGGGAGCATAGCGTGTCCTTTGGACCCCGGGGGTCCCTGCTCAGAGAAGCTCATAGTGTGGGGGAAGATTGATGATGGTCAAGACTTTCCTTCAGAGCCAACAGAGAGAGAAAGCTTTCTGGAGCTGACACCCTGAATTTGGACTTGTAGTCTAGTAGATGGTGAGAAAACAAATTTCTCTTTGTTAAAGCCATCCACTTGTGGTATTTCTGTTAAAGCAGCACCAGATGACCAAGACGCTCTGCTTTCAGCTAAGCTCCATCTGACAGCAATGATACTCCTTGTTCCATGTCCTCTTCTGAATTCAGCTTGAATTTCTGGTAGTTCCCTGTCCTTGAACCACTGCAACCGGTTTTGAATTATCTTTAGCAAAATTTTACTTGTGTGTGATATTAATGATATTATTCCATAATTCCTGCATTTTGTTGGATCACCTTTCTTTAGAATGGCATAAATCTCTTCCCAGTCGGTTGGCCAGGTAGTTGTCGTCCAAATTTCTGGGCATAGAAGCGTAAGCACGTCTAGCATTGCATCCGTTTGTTGAAACATCTCAATTGGTTTTCAGTCAATTCCTGGAGCTTTGTTTTCACCAATGCCTTCAGTGCAGCTTGGACTTCTTCCTTCAATACCATCGGTTGGTTCTTGATCAATGGTACCTCATGAAATGGTTGAACGGCGACCAGTTCTTTTTGATAGTGACCCTGTGTATTCCTTCCATCTTCTTTTGATGCTTCCAGCGTTGTTCAATATTTTGCCCATAGAATCCTTCAATATTGCAACGCAAGGCTTGAGTTTTTTCTTCAGTTCTTTCAGCTTGAGAAATGCCGAGTGTGTTCTTCCCTTTTGGTGTTCTAACTCCAGGTCTTTGTACGTTTCATTATAATACTTTACTTTGTCTTCTTGAGCTGCCATTTGAAATCCTTCTGTTCAGCTCTTTTATGTGATCATTTCTTCAGTGTGCTTTAGGTACTCTACATAGAAGAGCAAGTTTCAGAGTGTCTTCTGACATCCATTTTGGTCTTTTCTTTCTTTCCTGTCTTTTTAATGACCTTTTGCTTTCTTTAGTATGATGTCCTTGATGTCATCCCACAAGTCATCTGGTCTTCAGTCATTAATGTTCAGTGGTCAAATTTTCCTTGAGATGGCCTCTAAATTCAGATGGGATATACTCAAGGTATGTAAGTTTGAATAATGATCGTATTAACTGGTCTTCTTGTAGGGGTATGGATATTACCCTGTCGCTGACAGTGTTGTATGTCGGGATAGATCTTGAAATATTCTTTTTGACGATGAAGCTGATGCCATTCCTCTTCAATTTGTCATTCCCGGCATAGTAGACCATATGATTGTCCTATTCAAAATGGCCAATGCCGGTCCATTTCAGCTCGCTAATGCCTAGGATATCGATCTTTATGTGTTCCACTTCATTTTTGATGACTTCCAATTTTCCTAGATTCATACTTTGTACATTTGGTGTTCAGGTTATTAATGGATGTTTGCAGCTGTTTCTTCTCATTTTGAGTCATGCCGCGTTAGCGAATGAAGTTCCCAAAAGCTTCATTCCACCTACATCATTAAGGATGACTCCACTTTGAGGAGGTACCTCTTCCGCAGTGGTATTTTGAGTGCTTTCCAACCTGAGGGGCTCAACTTCCAGCACTATATCTGCAGTGTTCCGCTGCTGTTCATAAGGTTTTCACTGGCCAGTTTTTTCAGAAGTAGACTGCCAAGTCCTTCTCCCTAGTCTGTCTTATTCTGGAAGCTTAATGGAAACCTGTCCACCATGGGGGACCCTGCTGGTATTTGAAATACTTGACATAGCTTCCAACATCACGGCAGTATGCAAGCCACCACAGCACAACAAACTGACAGAGGAGTGGTGGAAGTTGTCAAGGATTTCATTTTACTTGGATATAAGTATATTTGGAAACAGCAGTGAAGAAATCAAATGATGTATTACATTAGGCAAATCTGTTGCAAAAGGCCCTCTTTAAAGTGTTGAAAAAGAAAGATGTCACTTTGAGGACTGATTGGGTGAATATGTTTTACACATGGCAAGGACCTGAATTTGGGGGCCAAAGGGTGGAATGTTATGGATTGAATTGTGTCCCCCTAAAAAAATGTGTGTCAATTTTGCTAGGCCTTGATTCCCAGCATTGTGTAATTGTCTACCATTTTGTCATCTGATGTGATTTTCCTATGTGTTGTAAATCACACCTCTATGATGTTAATGAGGCAGGGTTAGCATCAGTTACATTAACGAGGCAGGACTCAATCTACAAGATTAGGTTGTGTCTTAAATCAATCTCTTTTGAAAT